TATATATATACTACCTGTCTCGTCTTGTATCATCAGATCTCTCGTATAAAGCGTATTTGTGCGGATTATCTGCAACTTTGAACTTCTTCAGTAAGCACCGTATTACATCCTTAAAAGTGAACACACATAATAAGGCATTCCCAAGTGAGTGTCTGAAAAAACAACAAATTCCAAATAATAATTATCATTCATCAAATTTAGGCAAGACATTTTTTCTTTAAAAATGGTTGATGCAATTTTTGCTAAAAAATATTTGCTTGGTTATGAATTTACGATCTTAATGAAAATGTCTCTGCAAATTTTTTTTATGGGCGAATCATTTTTAAATTTTTAATCTAAGTCCACTTTTTTACCTGGAAAATTCTATTTTATATGTTTACACTTCACACATTTTCTTTTCCATTTCAAATTTTTTAATAATTTTAACGAGAATGTATGAACTGTATCCAAAAAAAGATACATAGTACTCTTTAAACCCTCTTTAAATCCTTTAAGTATTTTCAATAGTTTACGCTTGATACTTTATACCAAATGTTCAGAGTAGTTTCAAGATTTTTAACATTTAAAAGTTACAATATTTATCCAATCAATCATATCAATTTCTAATTATTCAAAATGTAAAAAAATCGACATTTTACAATATTATCAAAACCATTACTTTATTAGCTAGATCCAGGACTTGATGAAAACGAAAAAGGAACTTATATTGTGTACTAATTAGTAATTTTTCAATGTATAATACCTAATTAGCATAAATATGCTTAATATTTGCCTATTATTTGGTTATTATGTAAATGGTTACAATAGTGGCATGAAAACCTTAGTAGTCGTTAGAATAGTAACATGAATACCTGTGTAGTAGTTAGAATAGTAACAGGAATACCTGTGTAGTAGTTAGAATAGTAACATTAATACCTGTGTAGTAGTTTGACTAGTAACATGAATACATGTGTAGTAGTTTGACTAGTAACATGAATACCTGTGTAGTTGTTAGACTAGTAACATGAATACCTGTGTAGTAGTTAGAATAGTAACATGAATACCTGTGTAGTAGTTTGACTAGTAACATGAATACCTGTGTAGTAGTTTGACTAGTGACATGAATACCTGTGTAGTAGTTAGAATAATAACATGAATACCTGTGTAGTAGTTTGACTAGTAACATGAATACCTGAGTTGTAGTTTGACTAGTAACATGAATAGCTTTCTCCGTATGAGGAGGGAGGTAGAACGTTGTCAAAGTCCGATCCGTTATAGTATCCTCCTCCTATCAATCAATCAATCAATCAATCAATCAATCAATCAATCAATCAATCAATGCAATAAATCTCAAAACAGATATTTCAACTAACTGATGCAAGAATTACTAAATCAATAAATAAAATAGTGAAATAAAGAATTAAAGAAATAAATCTATAAATAGATCAAAAACAATTTTAGAATTTTAACTAATGAATGAAAAAATTATACTTACCTAAACATATCAATCAATAAAAAATAAACAGTTTTAACTAATAAATTAAAACCTTTGGCAATCAATCAATCAACTCGTCAGATTATCAATCAATTAATCCGCCGATCAATATGTAAGCTACTGAATCTATTAAATGCTGCTTATTAACCTGCTCTATATTTATCACATTTCTTTTACCTTCATAATATTGTAAAAAGATGGGGGTCTGGTTCCACTGAGAACATTTATAGGTCTCTGTAGGTTCATATCTACTCGGATAAACCCTTGGAACATCTACATAGAAAAAAAGAGTAGTTTTCTTGAAAATCTTTCTCAATTAATCAGGAAAATATGTTTGGTCTTTTATCACCGAGTCGGGAAAAAATTATTTTTTTATGGAAAATTTAATGATTTAAGGGGGAAATAAATGATTTTAAAAGAAAAATAAATGATCTTAAAAGGAAAATAAATAATCTTAAAAGAAAAATATGGTCTTAAAAGGAAAATAAATGATCTTAAAAGGAAAATAAATGATCTTAAAAGGAAAATAAATAATCTTAAAAGAAAAATATGGTCTTAAAAGGAAAATAAATGATCTTAAAAGGAAAATAAATGATCTTAAAAGGAAAATAAATAATCTTAAAAGAAAAATATGGTCTTAAAAGGAAAATAAATGATCTTAAAAGGAAAATAAATGATCTTAAAAGGAAAATAAATAATCTTAAAAGAAAAATATGGTCTTAAAAGGAAAATAAATGATCTTAAAAGGAAAATAAATGATCTTAAAAGGAAAATAAATAATCTTAAAAGAAAAATATGGTCTTAAAAGGAAAATAAATGATCTTAAAAGGAAAATAAATGATCTTAAAAGGAAAATAAATAATCTTAAAAGAAAAATATGGTCTTAAAAGGAAAATAAATGATCTTAAAAGGAAAATAAATGATCTTAAAAGGAAAATAAGTGATCTTAAAAGAAAAATAAATAATCTTAAAAGAAAAAATATGGTCTTAAAAGAAAAATATGGTCTTAAAAGAAAAATAAATGATCTTAAAAGGAAAATGAGTCCTACATCTGGGGAATTTTTCAGGAGCACCCTGACATGGAGTCTCATAGCTATTACAAAAAAGACGACTAAAATGAAAAAAAGATATACCTTGGATTCCTGATCGAATACAGTCTGTTGACCGGCCGGGTGAAAGCTGTTGTATCTCTCTAGGTACAATTCTAGATCCTAGAATATATTCAATATCTCTCTAGGTTCACTTCTAGATCCTAGAATATATTCAATATCTCTCTAGGTTCACTTCTAGATCCTAGAATATATTCAATATCTCTCTAGGTTCACTTCTAGATCCTAGAATATATTCAATATCTCTCTAGGTACACTTCTAGATCCTAGAATATATTTCATATCTCTCTAGGTACACATCAAGATCCCAGAATATATTTCATATCTTTCTAGGTACACATCAAGATCCTAGAATATAATCAATATCTCTATAGGTACACTTATAAATTATAGAATATATTTATTATCTCTCTAGGTACACTTTTTTATCCTATAATATATTTAAGAATTCGAAATTAGGACTAGGACACCTAAATAGAGAAACCACAAATAAAAATAATCAGTTGTCCAAAACAAAAACATGAATATCTAATTCATAATTGACCCGAAATAGCTTTAACAGGTACCGTTGTGCATCAGGCCTGCCAATCTAATAAAATATTTTATGATCTACCTTTGAAGGAAGAGCAAGAAGAGGAGGGAGAGGAACAGTAGAAGAAGGTCCTTCATCATCCAGTTCATCAACATCTTTCAGGGTATGATACTCATCCGAATCATCCTGAATATGTAGGGATGTTTCTTGAAAAATAATTACCCTCCCCTGGCCCTTTTCGACAATCCTTTTTCCTCACAGAAGTTGAGGGTATTTGAGCAGAGAGCAAACATTGTCTAAAGGATTTTTTCGCTGAATTGGGGAACACGAATTTTTTATCTTTAAAAATCATTTCTACCCCCCCCCCAAAAAAAATCTAAAATTCTAAAAAGAATTACACCTCTAGAATATTATTCGTCATATCAATCAAAACTAATTTGACCCTATTCTATTTTTTCTAATAATTATAAAACTAGGTGCTAGCCGGATATTTTCCTCTCAGAACTAAAAAAGCGACGACATCTTCCACATAAATAATAATCGGATAAAAGTTTAGAAGGAACTGTTGAGATTCTGACTTGGCCCATTTTAAATGGTCTCTAGAAATTACAACAACAGTTCTTTTAAGCTTGATTAATTCGATTAGATGAACCGCAATTTTTTCCGATTTCTTTGAGTCAGCTCTTCAACGGTTCTTTAACAGTTACAAATAATGAATTAACTTTGACTAAGGATACTTACCAGTAAGGTTTTGAAGTCTGAAGAAAGGTCGTGCAGGGTTGATAAATCATGCAGAGTGTGGAATTTATCTTCCTGAGTTGTCAAAGTAACACTTATTGTCTCATCCAACGCTTCGGCTAGATAAACAAGAATAATATTGAATTCAGGACTCTAAATAGGGTTTGTTCCAGTAAAATATTAATACATATAGATATAAGAAACTGAAAGAAATTTTTGTTAATATGAATTTTTGGGTAAAAGTGGTACGGTCTAGCTAGCTGGGTGTAAGATCTACGGATCTTTTCTTAAATCTTGATGTTCAGGTTGAATCCAGAAATCGTGATCTAAAGAAGCACATGAAGATCCTCTCATCTAACTCTACACTTGTTCCTACTATATATATACAGGAACATTTATTCAAAATTATATATAAGATTTTATCTGAGAATTTAACTAAAGTTTTATGTTAAATGTATTGTTCTGGCCTAAAGTTTTAGATCTTCAAGCTTAATAAGCTTTTTTATAACGTCTAAGTCTATAATTTAAAGAGCCTATATTAAAAAATTATATTTAATGGTCTATGTATTTCAGACAAAAATGGGCTAGTTAACTGTCCATATATCTCGTTAGTACTCCAGGTTGTGCAATACTAGGTTTATAAAACATCTTATTTAAATGTAAATGTAACACTGGCTAAAACCTTTTGAATCTAAGCTCATTAAAACTTATGGATGTTATATAAAGTGAATCCAGATCGTACATGTATTTCAACGCCTGTTTTGAACTATGAACTAATAAACTAACAGGTGAAAACACATTTCTAGAAAATTTAGAACTTTTGAAGTTTATGCGAAACTAACTACTCCCTTATCTCTTAGACCAAGTCCTCCTCTGATGTGTCCTCGCCGTACTCCTGGACGAGGATGATAGCTTCAACACGAATGAGAGTCTGTTTGTATTTTCAACATGAATGAGAATCTGCCTGCGGAGTACCTCCCTGCTGAGCAACAGTGTCCCCACCTCCTCTCGGAGAAGTCCCGTCGGAAGTAACTGTGCTTCTCTAAACCGGAACTGCTGCTTTTGAGCAGACAAAGGTGAAGATTGAATATGAACTGCTCTCAAGATGAGATCTAATGTTAACCTAATCTTATTTAGATCCCATCTACATCTCTACTTCCTCTCGGAGAAGTACCCTCGCCTCTTCTCAGAGAAGTATTCTGGCCTCCTCTCGGAGAAGTATCCTCGCCTCCTCTCGGAGAAGTCCCGTCGGAAGCATTTGTGTTTCTCTAAACCGGGACTGCTGCTTTCGAGCAGATAAAGGTGAAAAACGATTATGAAGCTGTCCTCAAGATTTAGATCTAATGTTAACCTTATCTTATTTAGATCCCATCACTATCCGTACCTCCTCTCGGAGAAGTATTCGTTCCTCCTCTCAGAGAAGTAACCGTTCCTCCTCTCGGAGAAGTATCCGTTCCTCCTCTCGGAGAAGTATCCGTTCCTCCTCTCGGAGAAGTATCCGTTCCTCATCTGGGAGAAGTCCGTCGGAAGCATCTGTGTTTCTCTAAACCGGGACTGCTGCTTTCGAGCAGATAAAGGTATATAATCAAGTTTCGTGTGATCTTTGTGAACAATTAAAGACGAAAGTGTGACTATCTCCTCTAACACATGATAAGCCTTTATATAAACTCTTACAAATCAAATCAAATCAAATCAAATCAAATCAAATCAAATCAAAATCAAATCAAATCAAATCAAATCAAATCAAATCAAATCAAATCAAATCAAATCAGGCTGTTAGTGAATCCTACTTTGCCCCTTCTACCTGCTGTTGTGTATGTTGAAGAGACACTGTCAGATCTTGATAAAATTGAACCATCTGGAGTATCTGAAATATTATCTTTTTAAATTTTCAAACTTATTTGACTTTTACTAACAGTTAGTCTTTTGCTCACTTGGGCAACTTCAGAAAACGGAATTGGCTTTTAGGGTGCTTCGCGCCTCTTATCTAATTAACAATTTTAGCTTTTTATTGTTGGTTTTTAAGTAGCTTTTCCCCCCGTGAACATTGAAAAATTGTAGTGATTGATGTATTTTAACAATTAAAAAAAAAAAACTCAATACTTGGACACAAACAAAAAGACAGACAAGCCAAAAATGTAGAAAGAAAAAATATAATTCTCACCTACAGCATGTATTGATGAGCAGTCTAACTTAACTCTTTCCCTGGATAATTATATTTAAAATTTAAATATTTCTCTAATAGATCATCCAGTGCTTAGGATCTGGATCCGGAACATTTTGTTTTTCTCGATCCGGATCCGGATCCAAGAGGCAAAATATCAACCGAAAACTGCAAACAAAAATCATTTGCTTTCAAAACCCAAATCTGAACAGTTGAAAAAATGAGATTATCAAAAATTTCCTTGTTTCTGAATCATTTTTAGCATCAAAACAATGACATTTATTTATAATCCTTTTTTGTCAGTGCCGATTCAGGATCCGGATCCTAGACACTGATAAGATTAAAAACATTTCGATATCACTAGACTTAAGGTTTTATTGTTCAAATGGGGTTTATTTCATTATTTGCGGATAATGATTGTTGAACATTTTGCTCGATATCTAAATTAGCACTTTAAAAACCACTAAAATACCTGCATTTCACATGAGCTGTGTACTTACAATGAACACACACCCAAACACCTAAAATATAAAATCTGTTAAAAAAAAAACATAGGAAAGCCCGCCCTCAGTGTTTGATGAGTTTTTCCTTTTTTTTACGTTTTTATTTTTACTTTAATTTTATTCCAATTTACCTGTATCGTAAAGACCCCATATAAGCTCTCCGCAAAGATCGCACCAAGTCGGGTTGGTACAACCCTGCTCCACCCAATCATGACCCTCACCGTTCCCTACACCTAGACAATATAGGAAATCAGGGAAATATATTCAATACACTTAGACAATAAAGGAATTCAGGGGAATATAATCCCTACACCAAGATAAGGAAATCAGGGGAATATATACCCTACACCTAAACAATATTGGAAATCATAGAATATATTCCCTACGCCTAAAAAATTCATGAAATCAGGGAATATATTTCCTACACCTAGAAAATTCATGATATCAGGGGAATATATTCCCTACACCTAGACAATATAGGAAATTAGGGTAATATATACCCTACACCTAGACAATATTGGAAATCATAGAATATATTCCCCTACGCCTAGAAAATTCATGAAATCAGGGAATATATTTTCTACACCTAGAAAATTAACTAAATCCGGGGATATATTCCCTACTTCTCGACAATGTAGGAAATCAGGGACATATATTTCCCAAAACCCAAAAAATACAGAAAATCAAGGGTAAAAATCATCCACTTCCAAGAAAGTTTTTTCCCTGAGTTTGGGGAAAATAATGATTTTGGGAGAACAAACTTACCAGCTGATGTCCGTAAACAATAAATACATTTTTTTATCAGTACTACTATATTTACATCCCCCCCCACCCCCTGTTAAACTAACAATTTATGTAAGTGGGGGGGGACTTAGTTATTTTTAATTTCCTTACCCTCTCCGAAGCAGAAAGGGCTCATTTCAATATTCTCGGGAGGACTACTGGAAGAATCACTAGATAAAAAATGTTTTGAACAATAAAATTTTTTTCTTTCAACAAATCAATATGGCTTTCTTTGTACAGAAAAAAAAAAAATTATTACGTGATTAAAGGGAATGTGGCGTAATTTTAAGTGACCCTCCGAGAAAAGATGGCAATGCCCGATTCACAACGGTACCCTAGAGGCTTGAGACGGTAACGATGTGAATTGTGCAATGCCATTTTTGCATGGATCGTCATAAACAACTTTACAAAGTCATTTGTTAAAATGCAGGCTCATTAGAGAATTGTTTTCTTCTCTCTTTTCGATATTTACAATTTGAAGAGTTAAACAAATAATTCTGAATTATTGTTAAGAAAACTGCGCAAAACCTTAATTAAAGCTTTAAGCTAGACAAAAAATTGCAGGATGACATATTAAGAAAAAACATGCATTTACAGTTAAGGATCAAATTAAAGACAAGAAGTTTTAACAAAGAAAGGTTTAAAGTTGAATTACAGCGAAACATGCATTAGTTTCTGGACTCAGCCCAAATAACCCCCGTAAACCCATCTTTTTACTTTAAATCGTATTTTTTTTTCTAAAACGAGCATTTTAAATTGAGAACAAACTCCCATCACTTTCATAGAATATAATTTCACAAAAAGGTCGAATCATTATTTATAATAGGTTTCATAATTTGCTTAATATATTTTTCTACTTATATTTAACACCCCCGTAATTATTTCTTTACAATTTATTTTTAAGATTTTCAAACTAGATTAATAAAAAATTGTGTAAAAAGAATACTTATATATTTCCCATTAGAAATTTCAAATTTATAATAAAATTTAAAAATGTTGAAAATGGGGGGAAGGTAGTGCCCAAGGGTATAAGCAGAGTAAAGAATAAAAATATGTTGAAAATGGGGGGAAGGTAGGGCCCAAGGGTATAAGCAGAGTAAAGAATAAAAAATGTTGAAAATGGGGGGAAGGTAGGGCCCAAGGGTAAAGCAGAGTAAAGAATAAAAATATGTTGAAAATGGGGGGAAGGTAGGGCCCAAGGGTAAAGCAGAGTAAAGAATACAAAAGCGAAGATAACAGAGGTGTCTTTCATGCTGTAAAATGGGGACTTATACACCTCTGCTTAAATTCTTAAGAAATCTTACAATGATTTAGAGCGTGGAGTATCTGTATAAGACAACCATGAGTCCCTGATAATATCTATTTAGAATTGTTTGCTTGTATTAAAGACACATCAATTTATAATAATGCCTTTTAAACATGTCGATGTTTAAAATTATAAAATCCACCAATAAAGACAGAAAAATCTGCGAAATCCTAAATATTTATTGTTTATTGAGGTTCGAACTTTTGTCTGGAGTATAGTTTAACTTGAACCTTTGACCTCGATATCAGAGGTAGGCACTTGAGGAAAACCACGGGATATAGGAAAGGTATTAGTCCCAAGTTCTAACTTCAAATCAAAGAAATAATTAAAAGTACAAAGAAGGACGCGAACTACTTTACAAGACATAGTTTAATCAAACTTCCGCTAATGTTATTTCACTAGATACTACCAAGGGGTAAAAATTGAAATTTTTACATTTTTGATATGTTCCGCATAAAGAGACGGTAAATTTAATTATAAGTGACCCTTCAGTGATAAACTTTCCGATTCACATTGTCATGATTTACTTATCTATTTCTTCATAATTGATTTTCATTTGTAGTTTCTCCACGAATATGACTTGCGCATATCTCACTTTGAGAAATGGAGAAATTGTCAGAGTTATAATGGAGGGTCATCTATAATTACAATTACAGTCCAATTAAGAGCTAGAACAATATTTCTTACCTTAAACTATTACTAGGGGAGCTCGCCATGTCCGACTGAGGTACAACCACATTAATATTTAATTTGAAAAAGATATTTTCAAACTAATAAGCTATTATTTAAATGAACTGAATGTGGTAAAATACAATAAAGGCTGAATGAATTCTTTGATTTTTTTACACTAATTTTTATCGTTTACATTATATTTTCGGGTTGTTTCCATAAAAAAACAATTTATAATGGTTTGCATCATATATATATATATAGAAAATTATCATTGTTTGTCTGTCTGGTTGTTTCTCTGATCATAACTCAGGAACCCCTTGACTGATTTGCCTCAAATTTTGATTGGGGAGCTTGGGAGATCCACGGAAATGGTCTTAGCTTGGTTTTGAGATTCTTAGTTGAACATGTCGATTTTAATAGCGAAAATTTAGTTTCCCAGTAAAATCGTTTAATTGCAGGTAAACGGCAGGAGTAACTTTAAGTGGAAATCGTTCAATTGTAGGTAAACGGCGAAAGTAACTTTTAGTGGAAATCGTTCAATTGCAGGTAAACGGCTTGGAGTAACTTTTAGTGGAAATCGTTCAATTGCAGGTAAACGGCGGGAGTAACTTTTAGTGGAAATCGTTTAATTGCAGGTAAACGGCGGGAGTAACTTTTAGTAACCTTGGCAACGCTGGGTTCCCAAGCTAGTGCACTGTATTTTCAGAAACGATTACACCGTGGTCAGCATATTTATCAATACAACATCGTTTACCGCAATTGAAATATAATATAAAGGCAAAAAATATTAGAGTTCCAAAAAATCAGTTTTTAGTCATTTAACAAACAATTTTATAAAATACAAAAATTACCAATCGGACAGTTTTCACCGGTTTTGGGAACAATACAAATTTCGATTTTTATAGGCACATGAGATCTAGAGTATAGGGGGTGGGGTCCAATTATAAAATTGATCCATTAGAATATATGTGCCGTATTCCTGTGGAGTAGAGGGAGTTTTCTTTCTGAGGTTATCAAAGAAACTAACACCACTGGAGAACAGATTGGAGAAATTCAGGTTCAAGTTCAATCCAAATAGAGGACTAAAACATACAGAATATTCTGGTCATAGGAAACTGTTATGTGAATTATCAAAATTATCAAAATTCAATGATTTTAACCTCCTCGGATACTTAACGAACACTGAGGCATCTTTTCTTGTTTACAAATTCCGCCCAGAGAGAACTGGTTTAATATGTACGCAGAGTATACGGAACTGCAAATAACTTTCCTTGCAGTACATTTTTGGCTAAATCTAACATGTTTCAAAATGTTTTTCTCAATCTATTTCTTTCACTACATTCTGCTAAATATGAATTAAGTCATAACATAAATTCCTGATTGAAGAAAAACAAATCGCTTGTTAATCAACGATTTCTTTATCTTCTGTCTTAGTCAACATTTTGCACCGGTGTGATATAAAACTTTAAACATACAATTCTCATTTTTCATGGAGGCTTCTTGTAAGTCAAAATAACAAAATCTCAACAACCTATAATAATTATGTCAAGGATTTGCAAATTTGTTATAAAGGTGCTTTTCAGACACTTCTGTTCCTACTTTTCATGGAATGAAATTTTAATGTCATTTCAAGTAACACTCCAATTCAAATTCAAATTTGCGGTCAATGTGTCTACATAAAAATGTTCCACATTTATCTTAAAATTGTGACTTCTCTGTACATTGTGTACAGTGTAGCGACGTGCGGATTAATGCAGCATTTACGAAACCAGGAAAATGGTTAGAATTTTACACTTTCAAAATTTAATACATTCATTAAAGTTAGTCGTTACCCAAATAAAGATTTTAAGGGTTCCATTGCAAATAGGGCTTAAACTCTTAACAGTCCCGTATTTGTGTAAATATACCTGTGAGGATGTTCTTGTGACCGCCTTTTATCTGCGCGTGGTCGAAGAGGCCCGGGCAGAGTTTTATATTGTTTGCCCGCCATACCAACATAGCATAGAGCTTACAGATGCTTAGCAGTCGATAGATAGATAGTGTCTTGTTTTACAAATAAATAGTATTTTTGCATTTTACATATTGGTAACTGAAAATAAAATTTCATTAATTTGCGAGTTAGGGTTTATACTATATACTACAAAAAATTGTACGATCCGGTCCCGGAGTTTTAGTATTTTAGGGTTCAACTTAATTAGCTTAACTGTAGCGGACAAAGGCCCCCCCCCCTTCCCTCGAAAGCATCTGAAATTAACCACTGCGGCTAGAACAGGATTGACAATATTAACTAGGATAGAGGTAAGATAATTTCTGGTCCAATTAAATCATAACCGCGACTTATTATAATTACTGACTAGGGGGCAGGTTAGTTTTTTATTGTTTAAGTATAACACACATTTTCTTGCCCCCCCCCAAAAATGTTTAGGGGGGGGCCAAAAAATTCCTCCTAGCCCCCCTCTAACCAAATGTCTAGTTGCGCGCCTGGCCGGATGCTGACAAATATTTTCTTGTCTGAAATTACAAAATATTAATAATAATCACTTTACAAACTTTGAAAAAAATCTTCTAAGTAATGAGTTTTCGACACAGTTTCTCTTGAGTTTTATCAAATATTTTAAATATCTGCAATGTCTGAAGTTTGACTGTGTTAGAGTACAAAGTGTACACTTAAGAATATAGAAGTAAACATAATATATTTTTAAATGTCGTCTTTTGCTTCCGATATATTTAATCGGTGTTTTATTATGTATAAGGGATGAGTATTCTTTGCTGGGCACCCTACCTAATTTTCAATGGGGTGGGGGCTTTAGGGAAAATTGGTATCTTTTAGAGAAAAGAGTGCATTGTACTTTTAATGAAAAGAATCGTTTCATTCTCCTTTAGCAGGCATCCATGGAATATTGCAAACGCGACGGGCCGTGGCCATCTAAAAATCTATTTCTGCCTTTAATAAATTTGATATACAGGGTGTTCCGGAAAGAGGAAATTATGAAAATAGACTCCAAGGACTAATTGTGAACTAAAAGGACGAATCAATAAGATTCAAACTTGAACGAGTGAAAAAGACGGACAATCTGTAAATGCAATACAATACTCACTCAGAATTATACTAAAACGGAAGAGAATGTTTTGAAAAATCCAACATTTAATGAGCTTTTGTACATATGTTACACACAATTGTTAATCTATTAACTTTAATTTAGCATGGTTAACGAAAAATAATTTAATATAAAACAAATTTTGAATAAACAAAAAATAAACATTTGTTTAAAACTTTTCACAAAAAAATATTTCATTCTTTAAATTTTCTTCTTTAATTTTGAAGTAAAAAACTTGGGGTTCTTATAAAACAACTTGAAGTTAAACGGGTTTTAATGTTCCTTATAAATACTTTAGGACTGCTTGAGTGTGTGAGTCAAATCTTACCCAAAGCAGTTCAGGATGATCTATTTAAATCTTCTCTTTTATTCATTTTCGAATCTTCGTTTGTCTCCATCTTATCATTTCTGATGTTCAATTGATCTTCCGTTGTCTTCTTGTCTTCTGGGTTCTTTTGATCCTCAGTTTTCTCTTGATTTTCGGTCTTCACTTGATCTTCATTCTTCTCTTGATCTACGGTCTTCTTCCCTTGGCCTTCGATCTTCACTTGATCTTTAGTCATCAGCGGAGCTTCGGTCTTCAATTGATCTTTAGTGGTCTCTTGTTCTTCGATCTTCATTTGAACTGTATTCTTTTCTTGATCTTCAGTCTTCTCTTTATTATTAGTCTTCACTTGATCTTCAGTGAATACCTGATCTTCAGTTAGCACCTGATCTTTAATCTTCCCTTGATCTCCATTCATCACAAGATCTCTCGTTATTTTCGTGTTTACAGTCTTTTCTTGATTTTCAGTCGGACCCTTATCTTTTTTGATCTGGTTTCCATCGAGCTTATTTCCCTAGTAGGACCAGATTTAATGAAAAGTGAGGCATGTTAAACCGCTAAACTAAGTTGAACCACTTCTCTTATGTTCCGGGCATGATCCGGATCCATTGAATCCGCAATATTTAAGTTTCCTGGATCCGGATTTGCAAAAATATCTGGGGCAAAATATCAACCAAAAACTCAAAAAAAAAAACATTTTGCTCACAAATCAAAATCTGAACTGTTAGAAAAAGAGATAATTTGAAAAATAAAATAATTTAAAATTTCTTCGTCTTGCATGGGAGGATCCAGGATCCGGATTCGCATCAAAATGAAATGAATCCTAAGACCGGATCAAGCGGAAGAGATGTGGTTCAACTTAAGTCTAAGCAGTTCAACTTTCTCTTGAGCTAGAATAATTAAATCTGGTTCCTGGGCTTCCATTATCTGTATTTCATCTTTATTCTTCTTTAGCTCATCCGACATATTTTCATCTTCTTTCTTGTATTCCTCCGTGTTATTTCCACCGTTTTCTCCTGCTTCGTTCTTTTCCTTCTGACAATCCTTACATTCCAGCAACACAGCTTCTATTTTCTTTTTTACCTCCTTTCTTTCTTCCAGGTCTTCTTGAGTAAAGCAATCTAGAAAAATTAGGGACTGTAGACACGTATTTATAAAAGACCCTTAAATTTTTTCTTAGCGGCATGCCTGATTTACAACGAAATCCTTTTCTNATATTTTGTAATGTGGTTTTCAATAACAAAACTGAAAAACGACGATATCTTCCTAATTGATGATCAGATAGAGGGCTTATAGGTAATATCGTTAATGTTTAAACTTGCGGGTCACTTAAAATATTGTCGATTGTCACCCATAAGGAATTTCTTAAAACAAGAATAAATTCATTAAAAATATCAGAGGAATCAACGGTGAAAATTTAACCATGAAGCTTTATTTTTATTAAATATAATGTACATATGTTTCTTGAAATGAAAGTTAAGTTTAATTATTCAAAAGGCGCGATAGAATCTCAAGAAACAACATAAATTCAAAATTAAGCACTCTAATTAGTTGGATTAAATTAATTTAATGAAAATTCTATCAGGGGTGTATGTTTTTGAAAATTCCCCCCTTGGAAAAAAAATTTGCACACCAAAAAGTAAGTTTTTTTCATCCTTTTTGATAATTTACTACCAAAAAGTCATAACTTTCCCCCAATCAGCAAATAAACCCTAAATTTTTTTGGTAAAATATATATCATAACTTCTGGGGGGAAAAATTATTTCAAAAGGTGTGTGGGGGAACAATTTTTTAAGAAAAGTACACCTAACATATTCTAACCCAACAGAATTAGACAAAAACAACCTTTAAAGTTTTAAAATTCAAAAATCCGGATCAGGGGCGGATATAAGGATTCTGTAGGGGGGGGTAAAAATTTTGAATTTGGCGCGCGAAGCGCGCCGAAATTTTTTTACCCCCCCCTAGAAATTTGTTTACCCCCCCCTAGAAAAATATCATGATGTATATCAAATTATTGGTTATAATTGGGTTTGATTTGCAATTTCCACTCATTTCTGGGATTTACAAACTCAATCTAATAAAGGCTTCATTACATACCTTTCAGCTTTCACCTTGTTTTATACCCTTCATTAAAGTCATTCATTTTACATTAACTACAAAGATCTGTACTAAAAACTGAATTTATTTATTTTAACTAAACTTTTTATATTAAGTTTGCTGGCAAACATTGACAAAAAAGGCAGTAATATAAAAAA